TATAATAAAGTCAAGGTTATAAAATCCATACATGTCAGCATCACAACAAGTTTTACTAACTTTTTCATAATATTAAAAAAGCTAATTTTTTTAGTTTAGGATCTTCAAGTATTAAAAAAATAAGAACAACCTTTGTGGTAAATAATAAATAAATATAACTTCAATTATGATCAAAGTTCATACACTCATGACAGCGTAACACCGACGTTGTTTTGATAAAGGTATATGAGATATGGATATGATTGGTTAACCAAACCCTCCCCACCCTTTCCACTGTTATTCCCGCTCATTTTACGCTACCTTTTCAAAAATAAAACCCATTACGCCTACGCGCGTCATTTTCACGTTTAAAAACCCCAATTATTTTACACCTTCCAACATGCCGATTGCCACCTCATCTTCTTTAACTCCTCTCTTCTTTCAATACTACTTGGATAAAATTTAGGAACAAATTACTGAAATCGTCCCTATGGTTTGGCTAAAATTACGCGTTTGGTCCTAACATTTTTTTTGTATTCGGACCGTCCTCAAAGTATGATTTTATTGCGTTTTTCGTCCCTCGCACACTTGAAAATACTATATTACCCTTTGTCTTTTCTTTTTCAGTTTTTATATTATTTATTTATTATTTATTAATTAAAAAGGTAAATTAATAAAATATGGCCCCAACACATACACTCCTCCATTCCCTTCCCCTCCGTCAACCTCTGATCAACCACCAACATAACCTCCGACAGCACCTCCGTTAACCTCCCAACATCACCATCATTCACCTCAGAAAACCACCACCAGTCACCACACAAAATCAATTGACTTTGAACAAAAAAAAACAAGCAACTTCATGTAATCACAATTAAAACCTGAAATCCAACCAAAAAAAACCTGTAACCTGTAACCAAAATCAAAATCAAACAAAAAATCATGAACAACGAACTGTTTGATGAATCAATGAAAAGCTAATCCTCCATCTGAAAACACTAACATCGACCTCTAATTCGTCGATCTGGGTAATTGATTTCATCATCAGTTCATCAATTAACTGAGTGTTGACTACTGATGAATCTCGATCTCGGTTAATAAACTCCTCCGGTCATATCCCGTCCCCGGAAAAGCTGAAAAGGCGAAGGATGCTCTGATCAGATCCGTTAACCATACATAAGAAATTTCAAAGAAGAAAGTCCAAGTGTAACGAATTTGGTCGAAGATCTGGCGATTTTCAGAAGCGATGAATGTGGTGGCTTGATTCACATAGGGCGATGGTGGTGGTGCCTCCTATTTTTAGAAAATCACCTATTTTAGTAACATTATGGTGGTGGTGGCTCTAATTTCAATAAGGCGATGACGATGGTGGGAGATTTAAGATACAAGTTCAGTGAACATATCCAATTTGAGTTGCAGAGCTTATATTGCATTGCAGATCTTTGATTTGAGTTCAAGATCTTGTATTGCAGATCTTCGATTTTCGATTTAAGATCTTTGTCGGCAGTGCAATGGAGGAACTTAAGGGAAAAAGCACAGTGAGGGTGAGTGTTAGGTTACTGATGGGGGTTTACCAATTTAGGGGGAAGAGATGATAGTGGCTGCTGGCGGATGATGACGTGTGGTGTTCACCGGATTTCTGATCTCGCCGGAGATGGCGACGATTTACGGGGTGAGTAAAGAAGTGGTGATGAATGACCAGTAAATTGGAAGAGTCTTGAACACGTGAGAAGACAAAGGATGGGTGTGGGCCCATTCTGTTTTTTATTAAGAAATATAAAAGATTTAATAAAAATAAGTAAAAAATAAATTGGAGAGGGCAATATAGTCCTTTAAGGTCGGATAGGGACGAAAAACGCAATAAAATTATACTTTGAGGACGGTCCGAGTGCAAAAAAAATGTTAGGGACCAAACGCGTAATTTTAGCCAAACCATAGGGACGATTTCAGTGATTTGTTCAAAATTTAGTATAATGCACTATTTTAAGAAAGAAAATTGTAAAAAAAAACCGATACAGATTGAAAAAATATAGCTATAAGATGTGTTTTTAACTTGGTTATATTTCATTAAAATGTAAATACCACCTAAATTGAGTGGGTTTTATTAGATCCTTTCTATGGTAAATAAACAATCAATGCAAGGTGTTTTTGTTACTCTTGTTTTAGAAAATAAAACATATATACTTTTATAGGTAATACAAACATTTATTTAGTGTCACCTATGGACATAAAAGGTTTTATTTGTAGATGATAAAAATGTAGTTAGATTGATATGTATTCTTACAAGGATATATATATTTTTTTTGAAAATTGTTATAATAATATAACTTCAAATGATTTTTTATACTTTTCTTTTTGAGTCGAACAATTATTAAATGGTATTAAAAAGAAGAGAAAATAAATTGCATTATATATTTTATGCCTACAAATATTCCTACCCATTAAAATTATGATAAGTGTCACCATTCCACCATTTAATTTTATTTTATTTGATATATTTCTAAGAGAGGTGGGTGTGGGCAACGCCCACACGAGTTACAAGGCTAAAAAACAAAAAAACGCCGTTACCAAATGTGATGGTGGTAACGGGAAGTAACGCGAAAGCCTTTAACATGTAATAACGGGAGGGTGGGGCGGTGTTCATTGGCGTTATCACGTGTTATGAGACACAATAACGGGAATGGGCGTTGCCCACTTCGAGTAGTCTAATATACTCTTAATGAGATAGTTAAAAAAATATGAACGATGACATTTGTTATAATTTTAGTGGGTAGGAATATTTATAGACAGTGTAGGAGACAACTTAATTGTTTTAAAAAGAACATTTTTCATGTCACATGTGTATCTAAAAAAGGGAAAGCTTTGCTTGCTTTTTTTAATAATAAATTTCGTCCATCATGGAGTATGGATCATTGTCCGGTTTTAATAGAAAAAAAGCCAAATAGTTTTTATAATTTGTATCATGTATTTTGAAAATATTATTAATGGGTCTAATATTCAAATTAAAGCACTTCAAAACTAATTTGAGATTTTATAGTTGTAATTGTTTTAAACAAAATTAAACGTGATATAATATTATTGGTCTTATAAACATAAGAATTTACAAAATATTTATCCCCTTAACTCAACACGGTTGTTATTTAAACAAGAATATATAAAATGATATGTTAAAAAACTATAGACATTTTAATTACTAATATAAGTTTAACCGGGTAATATAAAACCATGTCGATGGTCACATGCGATCTATTGGAAGGGGAAAAAAAGCAAAAAGAAGAAAAAGATGGACGATCGAGTTAGACGACAAACTCGCTCTCAAAAACATGACCTGGACACATGATATATATATATATATATATATATATATATATAAAACATGATTTTTGATATATTTTTTATAACTTTTTCAATAAACATATTATCTAAATAGTTGTATTAATTAAGACTCTCACATATTATATATTCCATGTTAGGTCGATAAATAGTTAAAATTTAAATTTGGTTGGTTGTTTATGTGGATGAGAGAACTTTTTTTTGCTATGTTTGACAAATAGCTAAAAAGCTAACTTTAAACTGATAAACCAGCTAATAAAAAAGACATTTGTTAAAACTGACTGATATATGTAAAATGACATAAATAAGAATATAGAAGATTAAATTTTTATAATTAATATTAATATATTTGGAACTTGTTAAAATGATATTATGATGAATTTAAAAAAAAAGAGATCTTACTTGAACCTTATTGTGTGGGCCCACATATATCTATACACCCACATATATGTCCTATTATTGAAAGTTTATTTATCAATATCATATAAAAAGTAATTTTGTAGTTTATAAAATATAACAACTTAAAAAATATCAAAAAAAAGTCACCTGTATCATTTTTTTAGTTGACGAGCATAATCTAAATTATACTCATGGCAACCCTTCCATATTTTTGAAAAATAAAAGTTGTTAATGGTGATAAGAAAATAATAGAATGGTAGCGAAGTTAGTAAGCAAATCTTTACACTTTTATTTATAACAACTCTCGGTTTTGACTAATCTTTTAAATGACTTTAAACAGATGAATATGACGGGTGGTTTTGGAAGGGTGATGATAAAACGAATTTCTTTGTTTAGTCTCTTCGTGATTTGATGAATAATGACTCCAATGTGAATAGCCCGAGAACCTTCGAATGGGTGACATGGGTGCCTTTAAAGATCAACTGCTTTGTTTGTCGTCTATTCAAAAACAAAATCCCCACCTCTATGAATTTGATCAAGCGTGGGATCCAAATTTTGTCTACTATCTACCCTTTATGTCAAAGGTCCAGAAGATAGCACAAACCATGTTTTCTTTTCTTGTTCCTATTTTGCCAAGATTTTATGGAGTTGGTTGATCAATTGGTTTTCCTGCCTTCAGGGGCAACCTTCTTATGAAGAGTTGTTATATTTACTTAAGACAAATGCCAGATTTAAGAGGATGCAAAAGTTGCGGTTGTCGTTAGTTTACACAACTCTTTGGATGATTTGAAAGGCGCACAATGCTATTATGTTCAAGAATGAGAGACGGACGACTGTGCTAATTACGGATGATATCAATATTAATACCTTTAATTGGATTAAATGTAGATCTAAATGTTACTGAATGAGTAGCTTGGACCTCATCCCTTATCCTAAACTCCTTCATATAATTTTGCTCAAGCTTTTTGCTTGTTTCTAATATATCATCTATTGTTTAAAAAAAATTAAAATAATAATAATTAATACAAAACTATACAATAAATGTTAAATATCATGTGGAAGCAAATCAATAGACAAATTACGTTAAAAACAATGTATGAAATTAATTATCCAAAATAAATGCTAACAACTAATCTAAGAACCTATATATGACCTAAATCAGTAAAAAAAATAATTTATTGTGATTAGAATAATAATAAAATAATAAAATTCCTCACTATCTGGCATAGTTTGCCTAGATTTTTATATAATTTTAATTTACTCAAATTTGAAAATAACAATAAAAAAAGGAAAAAGAAATCCTTCCATCGTTCTCCTCCCCACCTCTCTCTATTCATTTTAGGGATCTCTTGCTCTCTCTTCACTCTCTGCAACTCTCTTCTTTGTCTTAACGAAGAAGATATACTCACTATCTCTCACACACACGCACACACTTTCTCTCTCTCTCTCTCTATACGTATAGATACTCACATTGTTACTTTCTCTCTCTAGAACACCTTCTCTCTCACTCACACAGCATAAAAATATTGGAACAATGTCATTCACTTTACTAACTAATCACCATGTGAGGTTCTGACAACTCCCTCTCTCTCTCCCTCTCTCTCTCTAGCTCTCTCTTTCATATACTTGTATCTCACTTGATATTTGGCGGATTCCAATTGGTTCTTTAATTTGAGAGCTGGATCGGTAAATGGCAACTTCTTCATCAAGAGGAAGAAGTAGTTCACCTTTCCACCACCGGAAGCCATCAACTCCTTTCTCTTCCTCTTCATCAACGTCTTCTTTTAATAAGCAGCTCATTCCTCGCTCCTGCTCCTCTTCCGCAACTACGTCGTTCTACGGGGCTTCTGGTAACGGTTACGGTTCCAGATCCATTACTCCTGGTGTGGCTAGGTCGGATTCGATGTATTCCAAAGGAGGTTACGGAGGCCGGTCACCGGTCGGTTTTCCGTCTGCTGATGAGCTTATTGGAGAGCCGGTTGATGGTATGCCGAGATCGGGAGGAGGTGATAGCATTTCTGTAACGATTCGGTTTCGGCCATTGAGGTAATTTGATTTATTGATGGATCTAAAATTGAATTTAGATCTATACCTAATCTCGATTTTAGGTGAGTTAGGGTTTTGAGAAAACGTCGGTGACATAATATCTAATTTGTTGATATTGTAGTGAACGAGAGTATCAGAGAGGAGACGAGATTTCTTGGTACGCTGACGGAGATAAGCTTGTTCGAAACGAGTACAATCCAGTGACCTCCTATGCATTTGGTACGCAATATGGCTTTCTCCATTAATCAAGGAAACAGAAGAGAATGTATATGATGATGAAAACTGAATATTGGAATCCATATTTGATACTGTTAATTATGTTTATGATGACATGACAGATAGAGTTTTTGGACCCTCTGCTGTCACTCAGGAAGTGTATGAAGTAGCTGCTCGACCTGTTGTGAAGAATGCTATGGAAGGAGTAAACGGTGCGTTAGAAGTAGATCAAATTAACTAATTCAATTGCATTCATTCCCTGCTAGTTTGTTATTTCTGATTCATGAGAGATTGGATGAAACACTAATTGTCCGAGCTAATGTAAGACTGCTAATGCAGGCACTGTCTTTGCTTATGGTGTTACAAGTAGTGGGAAGACACATACAATGCACGTAAGAGAAATTGCTACTCCTGTGATATTATCAGTTTCAAGGGATATTTCTGATTCAATGATCTTTGCAGGGTGATCACCATTCTCCTGGAATAATACCACTGGCGATAAAGGATGTTTTCAGCATTATTCAGGATGTAAGTGTTTCTCAACACCATATTAATAAGATTTGAAGCGCATTGCAACTACATACACCCATGTAACATCCCTTTGGTTCATGATTGCGATGCAAGTCATGTAACAATTATTCTTGCCTGTGAGTCTGTCCCTTCAGTGTCATTTTATGTATGTGGTTATACTTGTGTATTGGAGTATGTGTATGTGTATTTGATATATGTACAGAGTTGTGCCACACTTGGTTTATTATTGACATTTCAGGAGCACATATGAGTAATAAACTCTCTATATTCACATTGCAGACTCCAGGAAGGGAGTTCTTGTTGCGAGTATCATATCTTGAGATCTACAATGAGGTTAGTAACACATTTAGATGAGCACTTGCAAATTAATCAAGAAGCAAATTCACTTCATTATGCACTTCTCACAGCCAGTATCATGTCATTACTGAAGCTTACCTATATAATCTTGTTATCCTATACTATTCTGCCAGGTCATCAATGATTTGCTCGATCCAACTGGACAAAATCTGCGTGTTCGAGAAGATGCACAGGTTCCTACAGTAAACTATATACAATTTAGTTCTAAAAGTTGATTTTTTTAATCTTTTTTTTTCCATCTTGGTCCCTAAGTATAGCTTTATATATAAATGTATGTGTGTGTATTCTTAATCATACTACTTATTTTCTTAATAGGGTACATACGTTGAGGGTATAAAGGAAGAGGTTGTTTTATCCCCTGGGCATGCCCTTTCTTTTATTGCTGCTGGTGAAGGTACTGTTGAAATTTGAATCTTTCCTTCCCTATAATATATTTGTGTATTAATTGTTATCTTTAATATTGATTAACTTTCTTTATATTATACAGAACATCGCCATGTTGGTTCTAATAATTTTAATCTGCTTAGTAGCCGTAGTCACACAATATTTACTCTGGTATGTATTAACATCTACCTTATTATTCTGTTGACAACCACTTTTTACAAATTTATCTTTGAAACATGTATTTGAATTTACAGATGATTGAAAGCAGTGCCCATGGTGATGAGTATGATGGAGTAATATTTTCTCAACTTGTATGTACCCTTGATCTTTTGATATCCTTTACATAATTTTATTACTGTTGTATCATCTATTCATGTTGTTTTCTCTAATTTGTTCTAGAATCTAATTGATCTTGCGGGATCAGAAAGCTCAAAAACTGAAACAACTGGATTGAGGAGAAAGGAAGGATCTTACATTAACAAAAGTCTTCTAACCCTTGGAACTGTAAGTATTTTTATTTATGCTTCTGTAGCTGACCAATTTATTTATTTATTTTTGTTTAGGAAATTTATTTCAACTGGATTTGCAGGTAATTGGGAAGCTTAGTGAGGGGAAGGCTTCTCATGTTCCATATAGAGATTCCAAGCTTACTCGCCTACTACAGTCCTCATTGAGTGGCCATGGACATGTTTCAGTAAGTATAAACTATAAATAAATCATAATTAGTAACAAACATTTAATTAAATATATGCATTACACCTGATAAATCACTTTATTTATTTATATTTTTTTAAATCTTACCAGCTTATCTGCACCATAACTCCAGCTTCTAGTAACATGGAGGAGACACACAATACATTAAAATTTGCAAGCAGGGCAAAGCGTGTTGAAATCTATGCTTCTCGGAACAAGGTGTGCTATGAAATAAATTAACATTTAATATCTCTTTCAGAATTTTTTTATTAACAAAATAGTAATACTAACACAGTTTAATTTTCCAGATTATTGATGAGAAGTCTTTGATTAAGAAGTACCAAAGAGAAATATCAGTTCTCAAACAAGAGCTTGATCAGTTAAGACGTGGGATGCTTGTAGGTGTTAATCCCGAAGAGATAATGACCTTAAAACAAAAGGTATTGTTTTATTATTTATTATTTATATTTATGGTTTGGGTTTATTAAAAGAATAAACAGATTTATTGATTTATATATGTTTAATAGTTAGAAGAAGGACAAGTAAAGATGCAGTCACGCTTGGAGGAAGAGGAAGAAGCTAAAGCAGCTTTAATGAGTAGAATTCAAAGGCTCACGAAACTAATACTTGTTTCTTCAAAAAACACAATTCCTGGGTTAACTCATCAAAGGAGTTTCTCTGCCAATGAGGAGGATGTAAGTTACATGACTTTTTCATTTTCACTATTTTATATATCTATAGAACTCGAGATTAATGGCTTTTTTTTTTGTTTATAAATATGTTCCAGAATAGTTCTCTGCTATTGCAAAGTGATAATCTGAATGATACTCCATCAGAAATGTCTCATGAACTCAAACACAGAAGAAATTCCAGTAACTTATCAGCTGCAGGTAGCACTATCACTGAGTCAACTCAAGTGGGTGACCTTGCTGGTGGTGGGAAACTGGTAACATTATGTTTTAAGATTATCAATTCATGTATAAAATATTTTTGTCTAAAGATGTTAGTATTAATTAATTAATTTTTTATATATATTTTTTTAATTTATAGGGTGTAATCTCGATAGATCAGATGGATCTTTTAGTGGAGCAAGTTAAAATGCTTGCAGGAGAGATAGCATTCAGTTCAAGTACAATGAAGCGTTTACTGGAACAGTCTGCAAATGATCCCGAAAGCTCAAAAACTCAAGTACTACTTTGTTTCACAAATTATGAAAATAAATTGTTTGAGATTTTGCCATATGATTTGAGGATAAGTATTTATATTTCTACAGATAGAAAATTTGGAACGTGAAATTGAAGAAAAGAGAAGGCAAATGAGGGTCTTGGAGAAACAGATTATTGAAAGTAACGAAGCTTCAATTTCTAATACATCATTGGCTGATATGCAGCAGGTAGTCTCATTTTTCAGTTTTCATTTTTTTATTAATATTTAAATTCATTCGTATCTTCTTTGATATCTAAAAGCTTATAATTTTATATATTCATCTGCAACTTACAAATGTTTCTTTCTTTGTGCTGTTTTTAGACAATGATGAGATTGATGACACAATGTGATGAAAAGGGTTTTGAGTTAGAGGTACATATGCTTTTTATGTTTTGCCTTTTTATACCATTTTACTCCAACCCAACATCATTTGTTGCACCAAATTTGGTGTTATACTATTCCTTTTGTACAATTTGGTCTTTCAAGTTTGAGTTTATAGATTTTTATTTAGTTAAAATTTTACAGTTATATTTCAAATCTAATATCTGAACTTGTTAAATTGATATTAACTAATCATATATATTAAATATACTCTTTATGTTTCAAATTTATACATGTAATTTTTTCCATTTAACAAAACGTTTGTTTCAATAGAATAATAGTTAATTCGGTTATATATAATAGTTTAATAATATAATTTATAAAGTTATTGTAACAACAAAGATGCAAGACTAATTGGTCAAAAGCTAATATGTATAAAGAGTATATTTAAAAATCTATATAAGTTAGAAAAAAGTTATATATTTGGAATATTCTTTTTTGTGTAAAAAATGGAGACGAATCACTATTTGCACCAAATATTACATCATTTTGGTGCAAAAAAGGTGTTATGGGTTGGAGATGGTCTTATTAGAGCATTTATTATTTTAATTAATATCATTACAATAATACACTCATGATTTTTGTTTCTCTATATCCACAGATAAAGTCAGCAGACAATCGCATCCTCCAGGAACAATTGCAGACCAAGGTATATATGGAGATTTCATTTGTTACAACAATACATTTGTCTTAAAATATCCACTTGTACTCTTTATTTCAATTATACATTCATGTTAAAATATTCTTTTCTACTCTTTGTTTTGTTACAGTGTATAGAAAATAAAGAACTGCAAGAGAGAATCACACTGCTGGAACAACAACTGGCTGCAGCCAATAGTGAGAAATCCCAGTCATCATCTGGACAGAATGTATCTGAAGAATACATCAACGAGTTAAGAAAGAAAATTCAGATGCAGGTAATTTCAGGTTCTAATTCCAAGTTAGAAGGAATAATAAATTTTAGTAAATTACATTTTGGTCCTCGATTATTTCGAAAATCAACTGTACTAAGGGACCAAGTCCAAAATGTTACAATAAGGACCAAAATTGCAAAAATCGGCTATACTTGGACCAATAACGTAACAAAAACATCAAATAAGGACCAAATTTGCAAACATTGATTATACTCAGGGATCAAAAATGTAATTTACTCTAGTAGTTTTTAGAGTAATTACGTTCTTGGTCCCTTAGTATAAGCTAAATTATGCAATTTTGGTCCCAAATCATAGTCATTTTACTTGTAACAAGGAACAAAAATCGCTGCAAAAACCTCAAATAAGGACATGTATTGCAAAAGAAAACTTTTTAAGGACCAAAAATGTAATTATTCGTAATAGTTTTTTTATTGTTTTGTATATTTTGAACAGGAGGTAAAGAATGAGAAACTAAAACTGGAGCACATTCATATAGTAGAAGAAAACAGTGGATTATCAGTACAAAACCAAAAGCTATCAGAAGAAGCATCTTACGCAAAAGAACTAGCATCTGCTGCAGCTGTTGAACTAAAAAATCTAGCTGGTGAAGTCACCAAACTCTCGCTACAAAATGCAAAACTTGAAAAAGAATTAGTCACAGCTCGTAGTAATAACCGAAAATATAACAATGACACCACCACAAAATCCGGTCGAAACGGAAACGGACGGTCGTTATCTGGTCGGGTCAATGACTTTGACCTTGACCCAGAAGATCTGAGAAGGGAACTAAATGTAAGGAAACAAAGGGAAGCAAGCCTTGAAGCTGCTTTGGCTGAAAAGGAAATCATAGAAGATGAATATAGGAAAAAAGTTGAGGAGTTGAAGAAGAAAGAAGGGGCGTTGGAGAATGATCTGGCGAATATGTGGGTTCTTGTTGCTCAGTTGAAACGAGAAGCAGGAGTAGGAGGAGGACAAGTTGTTACTGATGCTAATGTTAATAGTGAGAGAAATGAAAATGTGAATGAAGTAAGAATGGAAAATGGTGATTTCAATAATCAGGTTCTTAAAGAAAGGCAAGTTTTGGATGTTGTGAATGATGTGCCAAAGGAAGAGCCCCTTGTTGCTCGTTTGAAGGTATTATTATTATTATTATTATTATTCTAAAACCATCCAAAATGGTTAAGCCTTTAGAACCCATTTTTACTTTTCTGGTGACCTTTAGTAATCAAACACCTATTATAAGTTAGAAAAAAACATATAATACTTGGAGCACCTCCAGTAAATTGTAAATCAGTTAAATAAATACAACACTAATACTTCCTCAAATAGTTTTTATTGAGATAAAACTTTTTCAAGATGTTATCGGTTTCGACAACTTCACTAATCGTTTACGCAGGGATTAATTGGTATTTTTATAACAGTGGTTACAAGTAATAAATATTTACTAAATTCAAAATTTCATATTATACAATTAAATAATCTAAAAATATATATAACATTGAAAATGTAAAAAAAAAGCTGAACACCAAATAAATTTGATGCAAAAATTGAGTAGTTTTGGTATTGGGTTGGAGATTGTGTGTCTAATAATATAATGAATGTGGAACAGGCTCGAATGCAAGAGATGAAGGAGAAAGAGCTAAATTACAATAATGGAAATGGTGATGCGAATTCTCATGTATGTAAAGTATGTTTCGAATCACCAACTACAACTATGCTTCTTCCTTGCCGCCATTTTAGCTGTAAGCTCCATTGCTTTTCATGCAACATACATTACTCATTACCTTCTATAAAATTAAATCTAATCTTTTTGTATATATATATATTTTTATTTTTGCAGTGTGTAAATCTTGTTCAGTTGCGTGTTCCGAGTGTCCAATTTGCCGTGCCAAGATTGCTGATAGAATTTTTGCTTTCACATCTTGATATTTGCATTTTACCCCCCTCCCCTCCCTCCAAGGTATTATTTATATACCAAAACCAACTCTTGCTTTCTGTTTCTGATGATGATATCATTTCATTTGTCTAATATTTATATGGTTTTTTATGCAGATTTGTGATAATATTCACCCTCACCCTCACCCTCACCTGCTGCCTGGTTATATTTTGTGTTGCTTAGTGGGTGTCATTCTTTAATTGGTCAAGCTGTATGTAAACTACTACTACTACTACTAGTGTTGAAAAAGGTATACTACTGCTCTATTCTCTTTTCCAAATGGATTGTAAAATTAGAATATCTTCTTAAATAGAAACTAACGGAGGTCAAACCTTTGACCTTTTGTCATATATAATACATTAGTTGGTTGTACTGCCAATTCCTTTTTTCCCACCCTTCCCCTCCACAATTATTACTCTAGCTTTTACTCTTTTTATTTTATTTTTTTAGCTTCTCTTTTTGGTTGGTTTGTGTAGTAGGTTGCAGAGGAATGTTTGTTTCATATAAATGTACTTTGTTATATAGTCTGTATTTTTTATGCAAAAGTAAAAATGCATCATGTTTATTCATTTTCTAGCTTTTATGCTAATTCAGATCTTTGATTATTCATTTACTAATCTTGTTCTTGTCAGAATAAATGCGACCTTGATATCTTATGACTATGGCAAATAAACTAGTTTCAACATTGAATTGGACTCCACCCTTCGTTTTTATTAAATTACCTACAAATATACAATTTTGATTATCAAAGAATCAATCTGTGAAATGTTCATGATTCATTTGACTTAACTGGTGCATGCATGGGCATCCAACTCCATACCTAGAAAATAGAAATTTAATTTAATTTATCTATCTGTCCATTCTTGAGAAACACCTAACAATCCATATTATTGGTTGTTGACATTGACAAGATCTAAAAGAGTTCAATACCAATCCAATGCATGGGTCTAAGCCCTAAGGTCATATATGTCAAGGAAATATAAAATCTCACTTGTGTCTTTTCATTTTTTGTAACTACGTTTTACATTGATGCCATTACATATATCTTTTGAAAAGGATCATGCTACAACTACAATAGACTTCACATAATTGAGAAGAGGTAGAAATGGAAGACACTTAATTAAATTGAGCTAAAATAAGCTGGTGATTCTTTTGGTAGTGGAGGGCAAATTAGGAATTTTGTCTTGTGTTTCTGTTAGTGCATCATCCTTTAAGTCGGCGGAGAAATAAGGTACAAAGTACAAACATCTTTTATGGATGTGGAAACCATTTTGGAGACAAGTAGACTCTTGAAATTCTAGTAAGCATTAGGGTTACTTTTGTTTATCCACATATTTTGAGTGTTTTGAATCGATAGAAAGAAACTTTTTTTTTTTTTTTTTTTTTTATCATCCGTTATTGCGTTGAATTCCTTTTGTTAAGTCGGTTCATAAAAATTGGTATCAAAGTATCTGAGTATGGCTCCTGGAAATCTCAGCCAAAGAGTACAAAATCTAGAAGAAGGCTTAGACCATCTCAAATTTTTCCTTAACAAATAGAATAAAAAATAGGGTAAATAGTGTTTTATCTCCAACCATACTCTATTCTTTTACCCAAAAAGTATATTTTTAATATATTGTATTATTCCAACTTACATAGATTGTGAAACACATACCTTCTACTAATTTGGTTTTAACAAATATATAATCTATATTTTTTTTCATTACAATAATATTAAATAAATAAGATTATATATTTATATTTATAATACATTTATAAATAAATATGTTATCATGTTTCATGATTTTAATACGTATTTAATTTTTTATATGAATTCGATAATTAAAATAAAATTTATATTTATGATTAATTAATATAATTTATTATATAACAAAATATTATATATATTAAATATTATATTTAAATTAAATCTAATTGATAAAATAAATTATAAAAGTATAAATAAATAAAAAGAAAGACTAAAACCGACAAATGAAACTTCATCCCTATATTTGGAGAAATGAATAGTATTACTCCATATATGGGGTAATACTATTCACATATCAAAATATGGGGGAATAAATGAGGAGGGTGTTTGGGACGTCTTTTAAAACAACCTTTTACTTTTAACTTTTCCAAAAAGTTAAAAAAGATACAAAAAATGTTTGGGTATTAAAAAAGATCTTTTTAAATGACTTTTTGTATAGAAGGAAAAGAGAGTGTTTTAAAAGTCACAAAATCCTATCTTTTTGTGACTTTTGAGACTTTTTAACTTGAAAAGTTAACTTTTACCCTAAAAACCAAATACAAACACTTTTTAAAGATTTTCTTTTGGAAAAAGTCACTAGCCAAAAAGTCATTTTGCAAAAAGGACTTTTGACCTTAAAAAGTTTTCCCAAACACCCCGAGGTAGGGTTGGAGAAGAATGGGGGAAAATAGAGATGCAGATGACATTTGGAGGTGGGTTGGAGATGCCTTAGAAAAAGGTTGGAACGCAATCATAATACCAACAGAGCCTCATAGAGACAATGATTCTGATAAACGACAAATCAAGAGAGATGTATCGTTTCACTATTGCTGAGGAAATTTGCCAATTCAGCAGCGAGATACCACCTACGTCCTTAACACCACCACTTTTGGATTTTGAAGCAAAGAATGGACGAAATATAGACTCAATTTCGAACCAAGAAGAATCGTACTTGAATTGTTGGAAGCTGATGACGTCCTCTTAGGTTGTAACGCTAATGGAGTACAAATCAACCCCTTTGAGACGATTGCTTCGTTAGATGACGTATTGGAAGTAGTATTCTTAGGTCATTGTAATAATGGGCTTAAAAAAGAGACTTGGGGTGAGATTGGAGTGTTGGGCTCACGTAAATTGATTCAAATGATAGACTTGCACTCAAAGATAAGGGCAAAGTGAAAGTAAGCCCACATGTTATAATATAAACACACTTTCTTCTGCTAAAAGAAAAACCGAGGAAACTAGTTAAAGTGGGAAACGACAACCTTGAAGAAGTCCACCGCAACGTCAACAGACATTGCCCAAGAACTCAATCAGAAGATGCCGAAAAATTTGATGCATGTGTTGGTTTTCCTAATCAAGAAGTTTATGCCAATGCTCCTAAAGCATTGATTCAGATTTGGTAGTAAACTAGTAATTGTAGATATAATGGATACAATAAAGCACAAGATCTTGATATTATCCAGTAAAGGCGGTGTAGGCAAGAGCACAATTCCTCAAAAACGTCCACCAGAGCGAATTTGAGGAAAAAAGTGTCTTTTATTTTGTAAGAATATGCATAAGTTTATTAATGTGTATACGTCTATTATTTTGTAAAATATGTATGAATCTCTATTTAAGTCCAGATATCGATGAACATATAAGTCCATTACGTCAAACCACCACCAACAACTTCAACCGCCTTCAGTTCCACTTTCTCTCAGATCTTTGTGAAACACAACCGTCACCACTAACCTTCGACGACATTCCAGATCTAGATCTCAATCCCCGAAATATCTCAGATCTAGAGAAAATCCAGCGAAAACGATGACCACACGTCAGATCTACAAGCTTCGGCGAGCGACGATGATCCACCACAATCGTCTCCATCTAGATTTGCTTCGTCTTTGCTTCCTCCATATCTTCTTCGTTTCCGTCCACCTCAGATCTGGATCTAAATCGCCAGAATATCTCAGATCTAGAGAGAAAGCGACGAAAATGACCTTCACACGCCAGAATATCTCAGATTTGAAACCCTAGAGCCGCTACTCCCATGAATCATCGTTGCCACTATCGTTTGACGCACCAGAGGCCAATTTTACGAGCGTTGGCAACCTGTGAAGTTAGATTTACAACCTCCGACGACTTTTCCTGGCTCTTAATGCTTAGATTTGGTTAGATCTTAAGTGATTCCGTTGGTTTTTCCCTTGCGAGATCGTCAAACTTCATTTGTTTTTTGTTCCAGATTTGGCTGATATCACAGGTACACTCATATTATTACTTTGTTTACTTTTGTTAATCATCGTTTTTTTGCTCTTAAGTTGTGAGTCCATGTTTGCTTTATTATTAGTTATAATATTTGAATCAAATTGTTGTTCACACTTTATGTTTTATGGTTGTTATGTTGTGAATTGAATTTAAAATGTGTATTATTATGTTAGTGTTTTATCAAATAATATGAATTTAGTTTTTTTTTTTTTTTTTTTTTTTTGTAAGATGTGAATTTAATGTTTTAATCTCTTGTTTTTGTTTATTTTGTTAATCTTAGATTTAACTGTTGTTAAGTTGTAAATCTAAGCTTGTTTTCCTATTTATTGTAATATCTATATAAAACTGTTATTCAAAGTTTATGTTTTATAGTTGTTATGTTGTTGATTGAATTTAAAATGTATGTTATTATGCTAGTGTTTTCTTAAATAATGTAGTTTAGGTTCTTTAAGTTGTGAACTGTGATGTTTAATGTTTTAGATATTGTTTAGTTATGTTAATGTTAGTTTTAACTGTGAATGAGTGAATTAATATGTTTTAAACCGTGAATACTATGAATGAGAGTCCTAAACTGTTTTATTAAACTATGAATTTGTATGGTGCACACAAGATGCTTGATGAAATGCTTCAACAAAATTAAGTATGTTTTAAAGCTGTAAATACTATGAAGAAGAGTCCTAAACTGATTTAATAAATTGTGAATTCAAGTCTTGAAATATAAGTTTTAAGTTTAAAATATGTCGTGAATGTATACTTTTTTGTATTAAACTTTGAATTTATGATATTAAACTGTGAATTTTGTGTATTAAATTACTAATTGATTATATTAAGCTGTGATCTGACTGTACTAATCTGTAAATTAACTGTATTAATATGTGAATTGACTGTATTAAACTGTGCATTGAGTTTTATAATTTTGAATAAAATATGTAAAGATTAAACTGTTAATATTATTTAAATAAACTTTGAAAGAAACACTAGCCTATAGATATGAAGATATAAATGTAAGTTCGAAGTTTATAATATAGCTATGAATGTATAATTTTTTCTTCTTCGGTTTTTGTAATTACCATAACTTCTTCATATGGATTTCGTTTTCTATGATATTCGTTGTAAAGCTTGTCACAAGATCTACAACTTCTCTTCACTGATCCTTGGTTAAATATTTTTTAATTTTGAATTTTGAAGTCGTGAAATATGTCCATACCCATTTATGCCACTTTTAAGCCTTAACCATGCTATTTTCAATAACCAATAATTAATTCATCTCAAGTCCATTTATCTTGAATCTTTTCCATATATCTTCATTTTCATGTTTGGCTACAATTTTCTTGTATATAGTTACATTCAGACATTCAATATTGAGTTACCAAGCTCCAAAGATGTTATCTTGAAAATATGTAAATTCCCATATGCTTTGCATAATTTTTTTTTTCTAACTTTACGAAGTCATAACTTGGTCATTCTTGTATGGAATTACTTGATTCTTTTTAACATTGTTTAACATGTTATGTCTCTTTTCAACATGTATTCATTGCCGTGAACTATAAAAACCATATAAACTCAACTTAACTTACAATAGAACTAT